TAAAACACATCTTTATCCAGTCTTCAGTTATTGGGCAATTGGGCTGTTTCTAAATTTTAGCTATTACAAACTCTGTCACTATAAACTGCTTCATGTATTTCTAAAAGATAAAGACCACAGTAATAAATCGCATCTAAAACTGTTAGCCATAATTCCTTAATTCACTAGGTTAATGTTCAAGTTTTCAACTTCAGTCTTTGTCATATCTTTTAAAAATATTTTGTTTGAGAGTGAATCCGAAAAAGTTCTACATATTATGGTTGATAGTATCTTTTAATTTTTCTTTAGGATACTTTCTATCCTTTTTTTTTTTCCTCAGTACTTGGGATCAAACTCAGGACCTTATGATTGTTAGGCAGGCGAGGGTGCCACTGAGCTACATCCTCCCCATCCCCGCCTTTCGATCTTTAAAGAAATTTTTTTCTTGTAATTACTTCATTGAAGAAACTCAATGATCCGCCTTGATCCTCTTGCCTCAGCCTCCTGAGTGCTGGGATTACAGGTATGTGCCATCACATTTAGCAAAAGCCATGTTTTTAAAGAAGGAGACAGAAGGAGTATACACTATTAGCTTTCTATTGTTGTGCAACAAATTGCCACCGATTGTGGTTTAAAATAATACTTATCCTATTCTGCAGATAGGGGCATGGCGCAATTGGAGTCTTGGCCGTCTTACGAGGCTGAAATCAAGATGTTAACCACCAGGTGGCGCTCTCACTCGAAGCCTGGGGTCCTTCAAACTCCCTCTAGTTGTTGGTGCAATGCTGTCCTGACAGTTGGGAACCAAGGCCCTCAGTTGCAGAGGCCTCTCCCTCTCACAAGCAGCTCTCCCTCACCATAAATGTTTGTGAGTCATCTCTGAGTGTTTGTTTGTTTTGAAACAGTGTCTTACTGTGTAGCCCAGACTGGCCTTGAACTCATGATGATCCTCCTGCCTCAGCCTCCTGGGTGCTGGGATTACAGATGTGCACACTTGGTTATCTGTGGCTTCTGTGTTGTTTCAGTGGTCTAATTCAGGAAGAACTTTCTTTTAAAGCGCTCCCCTGAACGAGTCAGGGTGTCCCTTTTCATTAACTCAAAGTCAACTGGTTAAGGGTCTTTATTACATCAGTAAAGTCCCTTCATATTTGCCATGTTTTCTTAATTAGATGCAAATCACAGGTTCTGTTTCTACTCAAAGGACCTCAGGGTCCAGCCATCACAGAGAAAGCGGTCATTTTGACTGAAGTTCAGTTCTTTGCTATGATGTAGATTAACTTTCAAACAAAGAGTAAAAATTAAAAATCCTCAGGTACTAAAAGTGTGCTATAGATAAATCATTTCAGATCCCCAAAATACATCCTGAAAGATCAATGTCACGGTTCTTACTGTACAGTAGAGGAAACAGGTTCATACATGTAGAATAACTTGGAATTTTCCTTCAAGGATGTCATGTTGTTTCTGAACATTGCCCAAAGGCGAATGGTATTTTTGTTCGTTTGTTTGTTTTTTAGTATATCTGCTTTATAAGGAAGAAATGGATGTTTATGCAATTGAAACAACATGGCATTGTCTGGTACACCCCGAGAAGCCCTGACTTTTACTAAAATTCTTGTCTAGGACTTGTAAATCCCAGGGAATCTGAGGATCTGTTCATCTACTTGCCACATTATTGTTGTTGTTTTGTTTGTTTTTGGTTTTTGTGAGACAGGGTCTCACTACGTAGTCGAGACTGACCTGGAACTCACTATGTAGCCCAGGCTGGTCTCGAACTCACAGCGATCCTCCTGCCTCAGCCTCCTGAGTGCTGGGATTACAGGCGTGCACCACCACGCCCGACTTACATGCCACATTATTTAATAGAACAGAGAACACTGGGGCTGGAAAGTGCATGGAGTCATCTGGTCCAATTTCCTTGTTTTATCTTTTCCTCTGACTTGGCCTGTTGCCATCGGGTCCCCAAGTGGTCCGCTGCTTTGAGAGCTCCTCCAGATGCTCCCCCAGGCTCCAGCTGCGCCCTACTGGGGTGGGCTCTGCCCTATGGCCTGAAGTGCACCGGTCTGTGGCTCCTCCTGCTGGCTCTTGGCTCTGTGAAGGTGACGCCCTCCTCCCAGACACTCAGGCAGGAAGTCTGGAGTCATCCTGCTTACTTTTTTGCTACAACAGCCTCTCTCTGCCCTTCCCCATCCAGATTCAGGCAGGAGTCCATGTGCAACAGTCCACAGCTTCCTCCTGCGCACTGCTGCGGCTGGTTCGCTGGTTCCCAGCCTCATATGACCTCATCTTTGTCCTTGAGGCCCTGACTTGACTTCTTTCCCTGGATGCTGCTCCTTTCCATTTCTGCACCCTTGACCCTCGGGTTAATCTTCATGCACAGTTCACATCATGCTACCTGCCTCCTGAAATCTTTGTGCCACTGTGTCCCCTCCCCTGGCATTTTCTTCCTTTTCATTTGGAAATAGGCCCTTTGCAGATGTAATTAGTGAAGGATTTCAGATGAAATCTTCCTAGATGTAGGGCAGGCCTTAAATTCAATGACTATGATGTGTGTAAGAGAAACGAGGGGGAATCTGCACCCTGAGGAGACATTAGTGTGACGTTGGGGGAGAGACTGGAGTTCTGCCACCACAAGCCAAGGACACCAGGGATTGTGGAAGCTAAAAGCAGCAGGAAAGGATGACCTTCCAGAGCCTGTACAAGGAGTGTGGCGACTTGATTGCTGACCTCTAGGGTCTCAAACTGTGCGAGAATGAATTGGAGTTGTTGGTGTTTTGTTCTGGCAGCCCAGGAAGGCCGTACAGCACAGCCATAGTACTCTGGGTGTGGGCTTCCCCCGACAGCATGAGGAGGCTGCCTCTGCTGCCAGCCTGAGGAGAGGCCGGCGACGACGAGCTGTGGGGTCTCAGTTAGGGTTCCCTCAAGGGAAAGGTTTAACATACTACTGTGTTTATACTGATACGGTATGTTACATATAGGATCTATACAGGACTTACGTGATACATAAAGGATTTA